TTGGACTGGTTATCCTGTCTCCCCACCCCCCAAACTTTCTTCATCAATAAACTTCATCCAGCAACTACCAAAACAGTAGAGAGGAGACAACCCCTCATTAGCATGCTGTTGTTGTAGCACTGATGGGCTGATTTACAACATTATATCCCATCCTTTCCCCTAAACCCAAGGTGGCTTCCAACAGCTGAAACAAAGTACATAAATACTATGCATGATTTTTTTTTTTTTAAAAATACAGCTTCATAGCTTATCAGAGCTAGGCCTGATCATGTTCAGCTCCAATGGTCAATTATATATTTAAAATGTTCAGCTCCAATGGTCAATTATATATTTAAAATATTTAAATATTGGATGTTTACTCTGTATACCTGCAAGCCATCTGGGAACTTCTGGATCCCTGGAAAGCCATCAATCCTGTTTTCTAACACTAATTCATTAGGAGTGGGATATTTCCCTTGTAGGGGGCTGAGCTGGCTGGCTCTAAACTAGTGCCAGTGAAAAGATGCTGTTTTTGTGATGCAGATTACAGCTTCGATTGTTGCAGTGTGTGTGTGTGTGTGTGTGAGAGAGAGAGAGAGAGAGAGACAGACAGACAGACAAGGTGGTACATGTGTAACAAGGGTATCAGAGGGCTGTGTACGGGCCTGAGCTGATACTCTAGGATCTGACTCAACTTACCCCATGGACCCAGCAAGGGGATTTAGAGCACCCAGCCTCTACCCCTTCCATTGACCCCAGATCCAAGCTGCCCAGAGCTGGTGATCAAAGAGTCCTCCTCACGTAGAACCTGTACTTTTTGCAATGCACATAACTGATGTTTAGCTGGGGGAGCTGCAATGCTTCAAAAGCCTCCCCTCACCACCACCAGTGGTGTGGAAGCAGGCCCAGGGCCATGCTTGTTCATCCCACTGTATTGGTACCTCCTGGAAGTGATGTCATCACATTAGAATTCATAGAGATTGGAGAAATTATTAGAGTGTTGTGGACCTAATGATCAGAAACAGAGTTTGTAATGTCAGTCCTGTTTTCTCCTGCTGTTCAGCAGATAAGAGCAAGGGAAAGTGGATAGGGCTGGGAGATAGCCACAGCAGGCAACCTGGGAAGTCTAGGTGGTCTGAACCCTCAAATTTTTATTCTTTTTAAAAATGAAACATTTGAGCCAATTTTACACATTACAAGTCCTCATGCTTGTTGATTCCATTTGCAAAGTGTTTAGTTTTGTGACACAGCCAATTGCTGCTCCAAGGGGCAGATTAGAGAGAAGAAAACATGGGGGAGAAGGCAGCCACTACTTCTTGACTGTGTACCCCAGTCACAGTGGGGAAAAGGCACATGCAAATCTGCGAGGCACAAAACTCCCACTGAACGACTGATTCAAAGTCCTTGTGTCGTCACTCAACAAACACGAGAACTTTGCTGCTCCTCAGAAGTCTGTCATGACAAATGTAGTCAACTTGTCCAATACCTTATTGTTTCTAGTGTGTTCATTAACCTGAATGGAAAAAATGAGATCACATGTTGTTCTGCTCATCTCAGTATTGCTTTCACTGGGGCAAACCCCTGATTTTCTGTTTCATTTTACGCCATCAATTGTGAAATATTTTTCGCCTTCCTTCCTTTGGCTACTTTCCTTTCCTCATCCCCAGGTCTCCAACTACTATTTAGACATCACCTCTCTGTTGCTCATGCATAACACCCACAAGAAAGTGAACAAGGGCCATATTTCCTTACACCGTCTCCTCCTGCCTCAACTGCAGTACACGGAATGTGTCTTGTGGTCAAGCCAATGCAATGACTGCCCTAAAGAAGAGCAAAACAACCCACCAGTTGATCCCCAAGTGCATTGAGTCCTCTGCTTCAAACAAAGGGAATATAAAAGAATGGATTCAGCAGATGTCATGTTATCCGTACTTTACCGAGCTGTTTTTCACATTTTAAGCAGAAATCAAGTTGGGATTGCAACCACAACCTCTCTGTGCCGATATGCAGATTTGTGAAGCGTGTTAATCCTTTCCACAGAACTTGGCAACAGCAATTGGAATTCTATGCCCCATTGCTCTGGTATCTCAATTAAAATATCTACTGGCTTTTACTTTTTTTTTCCAGGGTGATACAACACACATCTTTACATAATATAGGGCTTTAAATGAGTGGTTTTTAAATGCCAGGCTGTATTAATCATCTTTTTATCATAATGCTAAGCTCCAGCTTTGTATTTGCATCTCTGAGGACCAATATCTGGGGTTAATTGGCCTTCTTACACACAAAGGTTTAAAATTGGCCCATGTTTATGCCAATGAAGCTGGCAAAGCTCTTCTGTTGTACTCGCCTAATTCCTCACATCTCATTCAGTCTCGCTGGAGACGACAGCTCAGCCAATCTGTATAATGCGTGGCCATCCGCTTGAACTTCATGGTGGAAAGGAAGGAAAAAGCTCTTCCATTCAAATTGATATGAAACAAACAACAGAAAACTGCCAGTGAAACTATCTGAGGCTGCTGAAGTTGCACGGACAGATGAGCCTTTTTCAGATGGTATGTTCGGAGGTGCCCCACCATGCACACCAGAAGTGCACAGTACCCAAAATCCTTCCAATCTGTGTAGGGTGGCCATTTTGTCTAAATAGGATACTGCATATATCTTGTGGTTGGTGACATGACATCACCCAGAAGTGACATCATCATGCCAGGCATGTCGACGCTCTAGCATTTTGGCTAAAACTCTATGGTTACCATATTTGTTGGCCAAAATGCTAGAGCGTCGAGATGTCAATGTGCCCAGTGTGATGACGTCACTTCCAGGTGATGTCCAGGACGGACCTGGGAGACCCCTACTAAAAGCGGAGTAAGACCTGGCAACCCTATCAGCACACAAAGCTCAAAATACATGTGGTGTCCTCTTCAGACAAAATGGTTACCAACATACTGGGTGGGCTCTGGGAAATGCACATTTCCAGGATATACAGTTGGATACCCCCAAACATGGCTTCTGGAAAAGGTTACAGTCAAGTAACGAAGTATCTATCACTTTGGGGTTGAATCCTACCAACATTTCTGCTGGACCATGAGAGAGGAAAGGTGCCTTATGGACTCCTAAAAAGACACTACCAGGGACTGTGGAGTCTATGTGAACAAAAAAGCTACATGGGATGGGGCTGCAGTGAGGAGGACCACTGGGCAAGAATACCCTTGTCTCATTTGCACAAATGGTAAAGCTGGTTGGATCTAAGTGTTTGAAAAAATGCATTTTGTATTGCTTGGACACCCCTCCAGGCTAGCCGAGGTGGCTACAGATTGAAGGCTGTCTTCTTATGCATAATGGAGGAATGATGAGTTACCATAGGGCTGCTGCCACGAGAGCTCTCCCATGAATTCTCTCCCTTAACATGTAGGAATGCTGTCATGCGTTGCCCTCATGCTGTGCTTCCTGCCTCCTCATGATGTGAAACTGGAGTAGAGAAACTTACCATATCATATATCACAGGAGAGGGAAGGAGAAGTTTTCAGCAGCAGCCCAATGACTTGTGTAACGTCTATTTCCTGCTCAATAAGGCCAAGTTTACACAACAGACTTTGAACCAGCCATATGTTCAGAGGCCTCTGGAGATTATAGCAGCTGCTGTCAGAAGTGACAGCTACAGGCACTGATGGAGAATTTCTTTCTGGGGCTCACAGCAAGATCACCAGCTACTGACTGGCCACTCACAATCAAATGAACAAGAAGGGCCAGAAAATTACAATGAAGGGAAGTTACAAGAAATGGCTTTCTTCATCTCTGTTGTTAGAAGAATGGAGGGTGGGGAAATGGACAGTAGTGTGGCTGAGGGGAATGGTAAAGGGGCTCTTCACAGGAGAAATCACTTCTGACAGACAGCTGATGCTACGGTTAACTGGAGGCTTCTGTATAGGGTGCACTTCATGGGCTGCAGCATAAACCACAGGTCCATGTTTAGCACTGAAAATGTTTACTATGACTTCAGCTCATGTCACCGCATTACACACTGAGCGTCATCTCTACTACCTGTTCCATCCCATCCCCTCTTTGCAACACATCTGGTGATAGTGCACCAATACTGGAGGAAGAGGAACTAGCACAAGTGTAATGGCTACTCTTCTCATACCCAGATATGTCATAATACATTCCAGAGAACTATCATACGTGGGAGATAAATGAAAAGAAGTGGGGTGTGGCAGGGCAACTGCAGAGCCCACTCATCCACATCACATCTAAAAGAAACTCCACCCCCTACAGAACAATCTACATTCAGAAGATGACTGTAATTGCTGCTTCAGCTTATATGAGAACAGTTGGTCCCTTGGGTTTTTCGGTCCTAGATGGCTTAGAGTTTTAAATTATGGGATTTCCTTCCCACTGCATTCCAGCAAGCCTGTTCTCCTTAGAAATGCAGTTGATACCTTTGTGGTCCGCAAGGGAATGTTGGCAGAATTGTTTCCCTAGCTCTGTCTTTAGCTTTTATTCCACAGTTTGCTTTTATGCCCTTTTCTTTTTACTGCTAGCTCTTTTCTTTCTGATGTTGCTATGGCTCAATAATGTTTATATTTTTTCACATAAATTTTTATCGCAAGCAGTCTTAGCAGTCTGAAGCCTAGAGGAAGCTGTAATGGACTTTCCAAAGAGAGCACGTTCAACAAGTACATTAAAAGGGCACATTCCCAAACACACATCACACACATAAACGTTTCATATAAGAGCACCATTAATCCAACATTTCTCTTAAACATAATAAACATGAATGGGAGAGGAGAGGTGGTGGCATTCATGATGCTGAAGTGTAATATGACAAAAAAATTGGAACCAAGGTGCAAACCTTCCTGACAGCATGATAACATGATTATATAATTTTTGTTTGAAAAAAATCCATACATTTGCTTTCTCCCAAAGACTGCAATGTTAAAAAAGGCTTTTCCTCTTTTTTTCCATTTTGCACTTGTGATTTCCTTTCCACAAAGTGCTGCATAGATGATACCATCATTACTCACTTATGCAGGTGCGTCCATCGGTATGAAGTCGATATCCTGCATCACATTCACAGCGGTAGGACCCCGCGGTGTTAATACAATTCTGCTGGCAACCTCCATTTCTTACTGCACATTCATCGATATCTACAAGGTGAGAGACAGGTGGTTCAGGTTTTACAGGCTCACTCGTCTTCATAACAGAGTCAGATGTCGATTCCTTTGCCAAGTACCAGCCAAGCAATACGTATATTCAGACTGAATACCTGCAACTAAAGATTTTGTGGTTCTTTTCAAATCAATATGTACAACTTAGCTGACTCCCCTTCTTCAACTTCTCTGTGACCCCAAGGCCTCCATTTCCACAATGCCCTCTTCTCTCTCTCTTCCTCCTCCTCATAACCACAACACAACCTCCTGTTTCTAAATCCAGATGCAGGACATCACCTATCCCAATCATAATTTGGGCTCTTGTTGCATCTGCTCCCTCTGCTCCCTTGTCCTTTCCCTTCTGCCTGTTTCATAATTTATCTGTCCCTCGTTCTATTCTTCTAACGTACCCCTGTCCCAGTTTTTCTGTCTCCATCTCACTCCTGCTGTTTATACATGCTGGAGAATGAGGTGGTAGAACGCTGAGGTTTTAGAACAGAAAGAGGGCATATGAGGTGCCCTGCTGGATCATGTCAATGGGCCATCAAGCCCACAATCCTCTTCCATGCAGTGGCCAACCAGTTGCCCTGGACGACCAAGAGAAAGGTCACAGAGGCCCCCCAATACTACCCCAATACTACTCCTATCACTGGTATTCAGACATTTCCTGTCTCTGGATGTTGAGATACCATTTAGTCACCATTAATTTATCTATTTTAAGTTAATTCTTTATTAATGTTTCAAACAAAAACAACACAAACACAACATACATAAACAAAAATTTTAATTCCATGGCATAATTCACATCTCTGCTATAAGCACTAGTGACTCCACATCCATTTATATGTCTATCTAACGAACTATACATTTTTCTGTAACCAACTGTAAAACCTAAGCCAAATATTGTCAAATGTATCATCATCTTTCCCCCGGAGTTTCATAGTAAGATTGTCCAATTCGGCCACTTCTGTTACTTTAACTACAAATTCCTCTTTGGACGGTATATTTTCCTGTTTCCAGTACTTTGCAAATAAGATCCTGGCTGCCGTGAGCAGATGCGTAATTAAGTGTATGTCCATCTTTTTTAAATTATCAGGCATAATATTTAACAAAAATATCACTGGCTCATATGGGATTCTCAACATAATCATCTGAACAATAATTTCATAGATTTCTTTCCAATATCTTTGTGCTATTCTACATGACCACCAAGCGTGGAAATAAGTCCCTTTTTCTGTTTTGCACTTCCAGCATCTGTCTGACAGATTGGGGTAGCATCTAGCTAACACCTCTGGAGTTAAATGCCATCAGTGAAACATTTTGAAAAGATTTTCTTTCATCGTCGTTGCCTTCATCCTTCTCATATTTTGCCACATTTTTTCCCATTTGGTCCATTCAATGTTATGACTGAAATTTCTAGCCCAAGAGATCATTGACACTTTTACTTCTTCATCTTGCATTTTTTGGTCCAGCAGGAGAGTATAAAATTTTCGAATAAGTTTATCTCCAGGACCCATCAGTATCTTATCCATTTCAGCATACTCCATATATATGCCTATCTGTTTATCTTTCTGGTACCTAGATGTAAGCTGATTCCTCTCCCACCAGGACAGTAGAATTCCTTTAACCTCAAGATGATTCTGGGTTTTTAAATTTCCATTTATATCTAAGCACTCTCTATAGGTAACATATCTTGATGTAGACATCAAGCTTGGAATAGATATTGCTTCCAAGGGGGCCACCCATGCCGGAGTTTTCCTATAAAATAGCTTTTTAATCTCCAGCCAGATTTTTAACAGGGCCTTCCTCAATAAGTGTTGATTAAAATGAGGTGTAGTCTGTTTAGGAGTCCACATAAAGAAGTGCCATCCTGCTCCTAAATCATGCTGTTCGAGTTTTAAAATCCTTAAATCCTTTAGTTGCACCCAATCACGTAACCACATCAATACGGCTGCCTGGTAGTATAAGCGCCAATCAGGTAATGCTAAACCTCCCCTTTCTGTTTTTTCCTGGAGTAATTTCAGTTTAACTCGTGGTTTCTTCTTTTGCCATATGAAATCACCAGTTTTTCTAGTTTGTTTATAAAAGTCAAATTCCCCAGAATCGGAATACTTTGAAATAAAAACAGTACCCTTGGCAAGATATTCATTTTTATAACCGCCACCTTCCCTGTCAGTGATAATAGTAATTGCCCCCATTTATTCAGGTCCTTTTTAATTTGTACCAACAGTTTGTCGTAGTTATCCTCAAACAGAGAGCTTCATCTATTTGTCATATAAATACCTAAGTATTTAACTTTATTTGGGGCCTCAAATCCCGTCTTTTTCTGAAGCTCTAAGGTTTGTTGCTTAGTACAGTTTTTCGTCATAATCTGGAATTTGGTCACACTAACACTAAAGCCTGCTAACCAGCCAAACTCCTGTAACAATTCCATGAGTCTCTCTATCGATTCCAGAGGTTCTGTTAATATTATTGCTAGGTCATCAGCGTACGCTTGCATTTTATATTCCTCTCCTTTGACTTTAATTCCCCTCACCCCCTCATCCTCTAGCAATACCTCCATGGTAAATATAAAAAGTAGTGGGGATAGGGGACATCCTTGATGTGTACCTTTACCGATATTTATTTCAGATGTCATATCACCGTTTATCAAAATTCTGGCATTTTGTTTGGTGTAAATGGCTTCTATAGTATTAATAAAAGCTTCTCCACAACTAGATATTCGTAGGTGTTCAATCATAAATTCCCAGCTGATGTTGTCAAATGCCTTTTTGGCATCTAAAAATACTATTGCCAGTTGTTTGTCTGGGTGTGCCTCCGCATATTCCAACACGTTCATGATTATTCTCAAGTTATCCCGTCCCTGTCTATGAGGTAAAAAACCCGCCTGATCCCGATGTATTACCCCACAAGCAGTGTTCCCTCTAAGCTGAGTTAGTGTGAGCTAGCTCACAGTTTTTTAGCCTCCGGCTCACACATTTTTGTCTTAGCTCAGGAAGGATGGCTCCAGAGCAAACTAATGTATGCATTAACCAAATTGCTCGCTCACAACTTTGATCCCCGGAGCTCACAAAGTAGAATTTTTGCTTGCAAGACTCCACACCTTAGAGGGAATATTGCCCACAAGTATTTTTCTCAGTCGCGCTGCTATAATTGTCACGAAAATCTTGTAGTCCACATTCAGTAGTGAAATGGGACTATAATTCCGGATTTCTTTTGGGTCCGAATCTTTCTTGTGTATCAGCGAAATTAAAGGCAAGTTCCATGAATCAGGAAGCATTTTTGTTTGTGGGATCTCTTGTATCACCTGTTTGAGTGGAGCAATAAGCTCCTCTCCAAAAGTTGTATAGAACTCCGCCAGGAGTCCATCTGGGCCTGGTGTTTTATTTCTTTTCTGTTTTTTAATGGCTTCCGCTATTTCCTGGGTTGTGAATACCTGATTTAATAACTTTTGTTGGACACTATCTAGTTTTTTCCCGTCCAGATTTTCCCTCAGATACTTTTGAGTATCCTCTAAATCTGACATCTCTTTTCTATACAATTTTTCATAGAATTGTTTCGCGATCTCTTTCAGATCCTGTACAGAACTTTTTTCCTCACTATGTTCATTGCATAGGACCCTAATATATCTCTTTTTTTCCTTGCACCTTAGTCTGTGTGCCAGCCACCGTGTAGACTTATTTGAGTTTTCAAAGAAGTTTTGTCTAGTATATAAAACCTTTTTAGCTATTTCTTGATTTAATAAGCAATTCAGCTCGTGCTGTAACACTTGGATTTTTACTCTGAGTTTATCTGGTGTTACACTCCTCTTAGCCTCTTCTTCTTGTTTACGTATTTGTTTTGTCAACTGAGTTATTTTTTGATTCTCTATTTTTCTGTTGTTTATACTTTGTCGAATAAAAATCCCCACACATAGGCCTTAAAGGTGTCCCATATAATGTTTGTCGGCGTGTCTGCCTGTTTATTAAACTTGAAACATTCATTGATATCCTTCTTTGTTCTGTCTACAAAAATCTTATTTTTTAATAATGTATTGTTTATTTATACCCCGCCCTCCCCGCAAGCAGGCTCCATGGCTAGTAATCAGTGATGGACCTCTCTTCTGTGAACCTAATTCCCTTTTAAAGCTGTCTTTTTTAGAAGCCATCACTACATCAATTTCTCAAACTGCAGATGATGGATTTGATGGTTCCTCTGGATAAAACAATGCCAAGCAACTAGAAAACTAGAACTCTAAAGGGGAAACTCAGCTAAGCCAGTGCTCTGCTCCCTGCCAAAGATGGTGTCTTGGTTGATGAGGCTGGGAAAGCAGGTGGGGCCCAAGAGCCTGAAGGGCCAATATGGGGCTACAGCAGCCACCCGGGTCTGCCCTGATGAACAGATGGCCTGTCAGACTAGGAGAGCAACTTCTGCCACCCACTGAGCTGAAGCATAGTCAAGCCACCTGTGAGGTCTTGGAGTTGTCCTGGCCAGGATGTCCAACACAGGGACTCAGCATGAGGGACTCAACATGTCTGAGAGATCAGTGTAGGGCCCTGATGGCCCAGAAGAAAGCAGTATGGGGAAGAGCTTGGTTGGGGGGGGGCAAGAAAAGGAGGGAAATAAAAGGCAGACAGATGTGAGAAGACAGCATGAAAAGGGAAACAGAGGGGGAAAGAGCCAGGGACTGTGAAGGAGTAGGAAAGCCGTAGATGAGAGGAAGAAGGTAAGGAAAGAGAGATGGTGGAGGAACCCATTGATAGAAGTGACACTCAGTTTTCTTCTTGTCCTATCACAAAAGAACCCCTTGACCTAATAGTGTGGGGGGACAACAAATGACAGTCCTGAAAGAGGGCACCAAAAGGAGAAGGCTGTCTGAAGAGAGTCCAGATGATGCGTGGGACTATACTAAAAGATGTGGTTTAATAATTATGACATCCCTACACCATGATGGGCTTTAAATGTTAAACCAACACTTTGTAGTACCTGGAAGCAAATAGGTAACCAGCACAGAAGTA